TGCTGTGATATCTAGTTATATGTCACGGTTTAATTTGCCTTAAGTGGAGCTCCCTTATTCTGAATTTTGTTTATGTTTAATGGAATTTGATCTTTCTATATTGATATGATTGATTCTTGTACTTCATATCTCAAAAAAAAAAAAAAAAAAATATTTGCAGCTTTTCTTACTTGCATGTTAATGCTGATGGGTTTTATGCGCGATCAATTTCAGGGATACAACTTGTGACTTCAATTATGTTATATGTCCACTAACTTTGATGGTTTCTTTGCTGAGTGCTGGTTTAATGTTTATTTATCGCTTATCTAGGGAACGCCCGTCTTTTTACGGTTCTGCCTGTGTGTTACCTTGATGTATAAAGAAATGGAATTTGCCTGATTTTTTTGTTCAAGTTTTGATATTGTGCGAATATTTGACTGTGCTTGCTATATGGCAGATTTTCAGAGCATTGTCTTATATCCACCGTGGTATTGGAGTGTGTCACAGGGACACCAAGCCTCAGAATTTACTGGTATATTTCATACTATTTTGTTTTGATTCTATGCTGTACTTATTGGACTGAAGTTGTGGAAATTGAGGAACATTCGTTATGTTTGCTGTAGAACATCCGTTTGGTTGTTTTATGCCTGTAAAAAGGATAAATATACTTCACCCTCTTCTCTTTCTTCTCATGTTTCAATTTACATCAAATACACATAGCCCTTGTTTGGTCCCTATTATTTTCAAAATACATTTTTCTTTTTCTTCTTTTCAATCACTCTTTTTTCAATAAAATAATATTATACGCAGACCCAAAATATATATTCTCCATCAATCTATTAATCCAAAATATATTCTTAACCAAAAATGGGGTTCAAACAGACGCATAATGTAAATCTACTCTACTTGTCAAAAATGAGCACCATTGGTGTTTGCTATTTCTTAGGTGAAACTGGATAGAGCTCTTAGGTTGGTTCGTTCAGGGTTGTTTTATATACCATTTTGATTATATGCCAAACGGAGTATTTTTTTATTGGAAATTCAGTTATTTTACAGTAGCCAGAGCCTCTCAGAAAGAATCATAACTTGGGTCACTGATATACAATTCATTCATGCCATTTGGGATACACACGCTAACTACAAGAAGTGGCTATACCTTATTTCCAATAAACTTGGAGTCTGCTATATGAATCCTTCTTTGTCATTTGTTCGACATGGAGCTGCTCTTTTGAAATGCTATGCTGACATACCACTATTTTGAGAAATCAAATATTTTATATGCAGACGTGCCAGTTGCCCCTTTGAACTTGCTTGTCCCATAGCAAATCACTTTTTCTAGCTAATACTTTTATGACCTTTTGCAGGTGAATCCACATACCCACCAGGTTAAATTATGTGATTTTGGGAGTGCCAAAGTTTTGGTATGTATAATGCTATCATGAGGATGGGATTACGTTTATGAAACTGGGATGCTTTATGACTTCCATGATTCTTGATAGGTTAAAGGGGAGCCCAATATTTCTTACATCTGCTCTAGGTATTATAGAGCACCCGAGCTTATTTTTGGAGCGACAGAGTATACTACAGGTATTGACATTTGGTCCACTGGCTGTGTGCTAGCTGAGCTGCTTCTTGGACAGGTAGGTGGTTTATTTCTTTTTCCACAAGTTTACAATGCTGGAAGTAAGGGTTTTCTCTTGGTACTATTGGCTTTACTTTTTCATGACATACCACTATTTTGAGAAATCAAATATTTTATATGCAGACGTGCCACTATTATGAGTGCTTTGATTTGGAAGATTGACATGTTTCATAAGTGTGTTTATGATTATCTGCTTTCAGTTGCCCCTTTGAACTTGCTTGTTCCATAGCAGATCACTTTTTCTAGCTAATACTTTTATGACCTTTTGCAGGTGAATCCACATACCCACCAGGTTAAATTATGTGATTTTGGGAGTGCCAAGGTTTTGGTATGTATAATGCTATCATGAGGATGGGATTACGTTTATGAAACTGGGATGCTTTATGACCTCCATGATTCTTGATAGGTTAAAGGGGAGCCCAATATTTCTTACATCTGCTCTAGGTATTATAGAGCACCCGAGCTTATTTTTGGAGCGACAGAGTATATTACAGCTATTGACATTTGGTCCACTGGCTGTGTGCTAGCTGAGCTGCTTCTTGGACAGGTAGGTGGTTTATTTCTTTTTCCACAAGTTTACAATGCTGGAAGTAAGGGTTTTCTCTTGGTACTATTGGCTTTGCTTTTTCAGCCTTTGTTTCCTGGCGAGAGTGGAGTGGACCAGCTTGTTGAGATCATTAAGGTTCTCTCTCTCTCTCTCTCACACACACACACACAGAGACATGCATCTGTGCGCACTTTCTAAGTTATCTCTTGGTTATTTGGATTGTCCTTGGGATTTTGGTTTCCTTTGCGTGTGCCTGTTTTTCCTGATGGTTGGGTTGGATGGGGGCACCGGGAGGGAGGGGGTATTCTGTGGGACCTGTAAGCAGGGGATTGGCTCTTATGACTTTTACATCTCAAAGAGTGTGATAAGATAGTACGAATAATTTTATAATTCAATGCCATTTCTGGATAGTCTGATTTAGTTCAAGCTGGTTTTGAAAGTTCTTAGCCCCTATTTGACACACATTAAAATTTTCATTCTCATTCTTCTATTCATTTTTAACCACACATTCTTCAATAAAATAATATTTTCCATCACATCAGTAACTTTTTCTTTTTTTTCAACCACACATTTTTCATCAATTTACTATTCCAAAATAATGTGGCTCAAACACACTTCTTAATTTCGATTTAAATGAATGCTTTATCTTTAAAGTTATTGTTCCTCATTTGCTTTCTGGCGCGATAACCCATTTGAATCAGGTTTTGGGTACTCCAACAAGGGAGGAAATAAAATGCATGAATCCCAACTATACCGAATATAAATTCCCACAAATTAAAGCTCATCCGTGGCACAAGGTATTTTTACCTGATCTATTTATGCTCATTTTCTCAATTTGTTTATTTTATTTTTTTGTTTCGCCATATCATTTATTTCTTTGTTCTGCACCAGATTTTCCACAAACTCATGCCTCCAGAAGCTGTTGATCTTGTTTCAAGACTGCTACAATACTCTCCTAATTTACGTTGCTCGGCTGTAAGTATTTGAAAATCTTGCTTTCTTTCTTCCTTCTTGTTTTACTTTG